AGCAGTTGGAATTAATTCAAAAATATGTTCTATAGGTTCGGAGAAGACTTCTTCAATTCATTATCATATTTCACCTTATTAAGCCACTTTACAGGAACAGGCTATACGAAAAAGTATCCGGAATTAAGATCCAATTTATGTTAGGTTAACCGCAATTTATGCGGAAGCGTTCAGCCTATTTCGAATATCGGCGACGACAACTTTGAAAATGTATGCTCATTCTTGAAAATTTCATATATATTATTTCAAACAGCTGCTTTGGAACAAAACATATACATTTCATATTAGTCTAATACTCATCACTGCTGTATTCAGCAGCAAAAGACTGGAATTCCTCTGTCAACAATCTTTGGGCAGACCCATACTGCTTTCTTGCTGAATTTTAAAGCCTCAACCAATCGACTTTAATTAATGTTTTGCTTAAAACCAGTTTTAGAAAATGAACTTATCATTATACAAACGGCATTGCTTCACAAATTCAGCGGGTCGACAAAATTCTCGGATTTAAATTAAGTATGCTCGCATATTCACAGCACAGCAATTCCAAAAGCAAATTCTTCTGAAATCTCAATTCATTTACGCTTGAATATTATTCATTTACTTTTTTGTGCATGACTCTCTGTTGGAATACTTCAAGTATAAATATGATTAACCAATTTAAGTCAAAACCACTTTAATTATAAAGTTTTAAATCAAATAGACAAGTGGCGACTGCGACTGCCAATCTGATCCGTGATCCATCTACACACACTCACTGGTATTCGTGGAAACGAGTCTGCGAGTTTGTGCTGGGTGCTGGCCGGGCACGTACTCGCTCTGGGCGCTATGGGGGCCAATAAGGTGTAAATTTATGCGCCAGCGCCAGTTTAGAAAATCAACAACAATAAAACTACAACAACAATAGTGAACAACCATTAGCAAACGAGCCTATGCAATTTATTGTTAATTCTTATAAAAGCTCAGCAAAACGCACATTTTTCGTATGCCTTGGGATTGGCATTTGAGAAGTTTTTTTTGGCTCTTGTCTTTCTATACCCTTGTGAAGTGTGTTATAACTTTGTCATGTAATGTGTAACGCATAGAAGACATCTCCGGACCTGTTAAGTATATATATTCCGTCTGACTATCTCGTAAACAAGTCTCTAAACTTTACATATGTCGGAATCGGCAGGATCGGCCTACTATATCATATATCTGTCGTAAAATAAAAACATTGCTATTGTTTAATGTATAATTACAACTTATCAACAAGGAAACAATATATATCTTATCTACCGTACGAACGATCGGTCAAAAGTATAGTGCTGGTAAATTTTAATCTGATCGGGTTTAGTTTTTTTTTATGAAAAATTAGTTTGGTTTTTAAGACATTTAAACCAAACCTAAAAGGGTATATAATATTCGGTCTGTCGACCAGAAACGGTTTTTACTTGTTTTTATTTATTTTTTTTTTCACATGCAATCGAAGCGCATTTTGTAATTATTTGTAAGCTGTGTGAATTTTTGTGGCCAATCAGCGTTTTTGTTCGCAGTTTTGATTCGCTGCCAAGATTTCAACGTAATTGTATCTCATGGCTAACGTGTATTCTATGAGATACATTTTTTTCTTTACGATATTTCTGCTGCTTTTGTAGCTTAAATTGTTGCTGTTTATATTATTGTTGCTGTTGTCATGTTCTTTGGGAGTTTTGCACCTTGTTTACAACTGTTTCTTTAATTATTTATATGTATCACAAGCAGCACTGACAAAGTGGACAAGGATCTATGATATATCTAATGAATAATGAATACGGGCTGTGTCACATTTTTCGAATGGGCGGTGCCTGAATAATAAGTATCTGCTGATTCGCTAATTGACTCTTTGCGAAAGTATCTTTCACAATCAAATCGAAAGCTGTTGGCACGCGTCCGTTCGTTTGAAAACGAAATGTTTTAAATGAAAATCAATTAAAAAATTGTTTACTCGGCTTTATTACACAATACAAGCATTAAAATGGAATTGCAATTTGAATGCCTCGCGCGTTGCTACTACTAACTGCCAACTACTTGGAAACCTACCTAAGTAACTGGCCGGATGATTTGTGGACTTCCACCTGTATTGTAAAATTAACCCACATTTCAAGCGACGTTGCCGGAAAAATGGGAAAAAATTGTTTACAACCTCAGAAACAGCAAATAGCGCAAAAATGCAGCGGAGAAGCGAGAAACATTAAAAAATCCTGCCGCATAAAATTAACTGTGGTAAAATGTGCCATAGACAGAGGAAAACGAAACACTGATGAATCCGTTGTTATGTACTCCATCAAGTGCTTGGCAATGGAATGCAGTTAAGTAAAACATGCTTGTAAAGCAAATGCTTTAACTTTCAAGTAGTGTCTAGTGCGTGAGGCACGCTTAATTGGATGAACTCGTGGATAGGGTTGGGCAAAAACTGGAGGAAGTGGTATAATTGTATAAATACAGTTGGAATGAAAATAATTTAAGAGAATGCCACATTCATTATACTTTGCCCATGACATTACTAGCAATTAAACAATTTCGATATATTTAAACTATTAAACTTATTCAATTATTCCAACAATTTTTCGTAAAATTAAATTTTATTAATTCTATTGAATTTTCACGATTTGTGAAATTTTATATGACCTGGACTGAAAATCAAATAAATACATCAGTAAATCAAAAATCGTACTGTGAATAGGTCCCCAAATAGTAAACGATCATTTATTGTTGATAGTTTTTAACTTTAATTTTTATGTTGTCATTGACTTGAACAAGGAAATTTTTAGTATTCAAAATTGTTCGTATAGATTTACGAGAAATTGGTTAATGTCGCCTATTATGACAGTTTCTCATGATGGCTCATAATAAACAGTACATAAATGTCTAGAAAAAAGTTACAAAATCAAAAAAGAGAGAAAAGAAAACTTGAAACTGCAAATGTAGCTACAATTTATGTAGCCACAGCACGTGAAGCCACTGATTAAATTAGATGTTTCCATTTGCCAAGCCCTGCAGAGCCGCAAGCAAAAACCAAAGAAATGGCATATAAAAAATATTTATGAGCACCTCGTTTTTTGTGGCATTTTAATGCATAAGCCAAGCAAACAAGTAACAGCCAAATCAATAGGCCGAAAAACACAAACAGCCAACAACTGTGCGACTGACTAACTGGCTGGCTGACTGACAAGCGAGCTCCATTGGGGAACATAATCAACTGGCAGCAACAATTTCCAGGCAACGAGTGATATTAAATTGGGTTGCGTACGTGTATAGCAAATGCTTAACAAAAACGGTGGCCAATACAAATGACAACGTTATCAACGACAGCCAGTAACAAAGGCAAAAAGCAACAGCCACAAGTGAAAATGTTACAGTTACGCAGACTCGAGTAGTAAATACCCAGTACCCCGTTTTAGTGTAATCAAATCAAATGTTTAATTGTTTTGAGCGATCTCCAGACTTATTTCATAGAAGCTTTTGCTGAAAATTGTAAGTTAAAACTGAAGCCCAGCATAAGAAAAAAAAAAAACACATGCACTCGATAAAAGACAGAGCCTAAACATAATATTAAAAAATCCATCCCTGGCAAAAAATTGACTACACATTCGCATAGTAATAAATATGTGCGTCGAAAAGCTTCTTGAACCTTTCGTCGTTTAGTTTTTTACACAACTTTAATTGGGTTTGGTTAAGCTTAATTTCTTTTAAATAATTTTACAGGCTATATGTATGAGATTAGCTTCGATGTTTAAACAATGCTAACTATTCTTTCGGGCTTTATGTCTCATTTTCACGGCTTCACCTAAACCTACGAAATGATATGTTTGCATATATATTTGCCCAACTAGTATAATACACATTTATACCCACATTGTTTGAATACAGGGTATGGCAATGATTACGATAGACAAAATTAGTTGCGTTTGCTCCAGCTATTCCGTGAATCGAATTGGAAACCCATCTGTGAGGCAGTTAGCTAGGCAAATAGTTAGGCGGTCGGGCAAATGGCCAAGCTAGACAGACAGGTTACATTCGGCATGCTGCTGCTGCTGCTGCTGTTGTTGTTGTTGTTGTCCAGCAAATTTGGCTTTAACAACGGGTCGAATCAGTTGACGTTGCACTTGTCGCGATTGAACATCAGTTTGTTTTCTTTTTTTTTGTTAAGCCGTGTTGCCTACTTTTCAACGTCCCTTGTACATACGGTTTGTTAATTGTTAAACAAATTTGAAATTAAGCAACATTTTTTGAATGCAAATCGAATGCATGCGTCGTTTTAGGCTGGCCAGCTAGCTGCAATCATAGATTTATGTTGCTGCTGCTGTTGCACATCCCACATATAATTTGCAACTTATAACAACAAACAGGCCAAGTTGTTTGGGCCAACTTGTTCAGCTGGTAGACCACATTCTGCTAAGCACATGCTGTCTCGCTCTGTGCGCCTTAGCAATCGCTCGTTATTGCCAAATAGTTTGAATTATTAATTATAAAGTGATTGGAATATGTTAAGAATTTGAGCATATGATGTAACATATGCAGGCCGAAAATCCACGAAGGCGTCGAATGCAGCGCTTTGACTTGGACGTTGCTGCTCATTGGAAAAAGGTGGGGCATCTCGCCTCGTCAGGTTAACAAGGCGATACTTTCTTATGAACTGAACCCATTAAAAATGGCCAAAAAGGGTATAATGCTTTTGTACAAAAGTATGTAACAGGCCGAATGAAGCATATTCGACCCTATAAAGTAAATAGATAGGGTCATTATCAATGTTGTCCCACGTAATACAATGCAATCGATAATAGTCGATATTAAAATGTAGCTTACATACCATACATATATTACATACATTACAGGTAAAGCCACATTTTTAAGATTCTATAGAGCAATTAGATCTGTTAATACAGATGGGCTTAGCATAAACTTCTGTTCAGTTAAATCCCTTCTTTAACTAGGTCTTAAAATAATGTTGATATCATTAAATTGTAACGCATGGTACTTACTCGTCGATTCTGTTTGGGACATCGCTGTCGGACTATCACCATCCACTACCAAAGCCTCATTATCGGAATCGTCGTCAAGTTGTGGCTGCTGATGATGTTGCTGCTGTGCTTGTTTCTGCACACGCATCGCACCGGGCACATAAGTCTCTTGGCTGATTTGGTGGTTATTGCTATCAGTGCCGGCGCTGGATGAGGAGGAGGCAATGGCTACGTCAATGGAGATCTCGTCCACCTCCTGTTTGATGCGCTTGGCAGCTGAGCTGCATCGGTCTCCATCTTCTTCATTTGCCGGAATCGTAATTCCGCCCATATTAGCCTCCTAAGACAAATATAATAAAAATGTGTTTAATTCCTGATGTAGCAATAAAAACAATTAGCATTTTTATGAGCAACGGAAATAAGATAACGAATATCGCCTCGTTGTCTATTCGTTTCGGTGCGACCCACCCTAACCAACTGGTCCAAAAAATGTTTCACTTATAATTTATGCCAGTCCCCGATCTTGTTTTTGTTGTTCTTCTGTTGTTCTTTCTTTTTTTTGTGTAGCATTAAAATAATTCATGCCAAACTGAGACTTGAGTTATTGCTTAGTGCTGTCGGGTTGGTCAGCTCCTGACTAGGACGCTATACAATTTTTGGCCTTACTTAAAATGGGGCCGGGAATGCTTTAGCCACTGGGGAGAAGACTAAAATGGCCATGCTTCAGGGCGTAACACGGCACTAGGGTAAATGTAAAAAAATTAGCATAAAATTTGCACAGATTTCGATAGCAATTATCTTGATAGGCAGCACAGTAGCAGCTTTTACTGTGAATACTGTTAAAGGCGTTTTAAATGTATAATGTAACCCAGCTCTGCCCGGGCAAAGTTTTTGTCCACTTGCACTTGCGCATATTGATTTATTGCAGTTTAAAATTAAAGCTTTGAAAACAATTTTTAGCTTGGATAATGGAATCCAGTTTTATATATTCAGTAACACATTAACCGTCATTACAAATGCGCTATAGAGGGTCAAATATTGGGCTTAGGAAGTACAGTATGCCTTCGCTCATGACACTCAATACATTCAAAGCCACGAAAAACGCGAAAACCAATTTGTTAAAATTGTAGACAAAATGGTAGCAAAGTGAAGACCACAATAATTAAATATTCCCCCAAAAAAAAATGCATGTATTTTTAATCATTCCACTAAATGTATATTTAGTCGATCGACTTAAATTGTTTTCCTTTAGGCCGTTGGCCAATTGAAATATGACACCAGTTTTTGCAGCGGACGGGTTTTTTGCAGTATGCCCGATTTTTAGTGGATTGATTTGAGCGAGAGCATACTTCATACTAAGTTAAGATCTTTATTAAAGAACGTAGTGCAGAATTGAAATAGGATTCAAAAGCTTGAACTAAGAAAGAAAGGAGTTTAAATATTTTTGATCAATGACAGCTAAATTGCATTTAACAATCTTCTAATTTCCTTTTCCACGTGGTTTCATAAGCAGGCCATCGAAATTTTAAGCCAACCCACTTAAACCAATGGAGCATATAGTAGTACCCCCTAACTGGGCCGCAAGAAACCGTTAAAAACTTAATAAATATCTTTGACATAAACGTGCTGCAATCAGTTTCAAACGTATCGCTTGGCTTCGCTCGATGGCCAATGTTAGCTAACCTCAAACTTAAACCAAGTACAAGAAATTGAAACTCGAACTTCCAATTGACAGACTATGTAGATGCACAAACAGAAGAAGCAATCCACAAGAACCAGAAAAAAGATGGCTGCGTGCCATTAAAAAACTTATATGCCGTCTGTATATTGTGGTGGTATATGAACTTGAGTGCAGGCCGCCCCCCTCTCAGGCAAAGAAGCACGGAGACCGTAAGTAGGAGAGGCAGAGACCTACGAGTAGAACTAACCAAAAACGGAGAGAAATGAAAAGACAAAGAGGCAACAGACCATAATCAGTGTTCCATTGAACGCACAAAATCATTTAGCGAAACCAAAACGAAAAGAGCCGACCAGCACCCCACAAGCCTACTAAAGACTCCATGGCACAAGGCACTTGAAACTGTTTTCCAAGACTTGGACAGAAGAGCCAAGTTGGTTAAAGCAAAGTGTTTGCTTTATACATATGTATATATGTATGTATATGTATTTGTATATGTATACGGATGTAGGGAACACAACACTTGGATGAATGAATATAGGCAGCCGGAGCAGCACCAGATCCACTACGAATATGCCCAAAGCTGGCAGCAAGTTCAAAGCACGCTACGTAACAGACCAAGACAAGTTGAGGCTTGTAGCAAATTGAATTGTCGTTGTTGCTGCTGCTGATGCTGTTGTTGTTGCGTTTGTTGTTGTTGCATGAATCACGTGACCATGACCACCATGCAGTGCCCAAGTAAGAACAACAAAAGAGCCAGAGCCAGACTCAAAGCTGTCTCACTTACCCCCCGCCTTTGCTGTGGCTGTATATGGCCGAGTCGCAATTTGAACTTCACTTAAAAGATCATTTACTTTCATTGAGACTGCGGAACCTGTCGCCGCGTGTAACAAGTGTAAACTTGGTCTAATAAGTGGCCATTAACAGCCAGTCGGATCATGCGTAAAAGTGCAATGCAGGAACGAGATTTATGCCTCAGATAAAAACTGCTTTTGGCCGGAAGTCTTTAGTTTTACGCATCTCGATTTGCATATCTCTTTCTCTTTTAATTAAACAATTAGTGGCTGTCCTTTTTTGGCCATTTACTCACCTTATTTGGCCTGCGTCGCTTACGTTCACTCGCAGTTGCAGCTGGCGTTGATGTTCTCGCGGTTGCTGTTGTTATAGGGGAGGAGGAGGAGGATATATCTTCTTTTACCTGCTGCTTGACTTCCTGGCGATCTATTAAACAAACAAAATAGAGTTAATTACATTTTGTTACGTATAAACTTAAGTATATATGTACTTTTTATTTAATTATAATATCAAATAAGTGTAAATATTTATGAAGTGTGCCTTATTCTTTACCCCATATTCCCTATTAAATATATACATATTATTCTTTATTTCTTCCTTGAAATCTTTAAAATTAGTCCCTCACATATAAGACTTTGGTACTCAGTTAAAATAAAGCTAATTTAAGGGAATTGATTTAGGTTAAGGTGTATATTTAATACTTTACTATATCCGCAGTGATTAACTCTACTTTTCGAATGATTCCGTAAAACTTGAACTTGACTTAAAAATTTTAATAATTAACATCACACTAAAAGCCGAGTTGATATAGCCATGTCCATCTGTCCATCTGTCTGTTGCTATGCGATCTAGTTCCTCAATTTTAAAGCTAACGTCTTGAATCTTTGCATAGGTTCGGCTTTCTGCAGGCAGTAAAGATATCCTTACCTTATTATTTAATTATTAATCTAAAATATCCTTACTCCTTTATTAATAATCTATCAATCTAGCTTTACCTATGGAGATATAAATAAGCACCGACACCTAACTTACATTTCATTTCAATTTCCTCATCATCTAAGAGCAATGAGACGACCTCTTTGGGCTTGAGTGTGTCGGGCTTGAAATTGCCGCCACTTATAACCATACGTTGTATCTGTAGAAAATATAAATAAAAAAAATATATTACTAATATGAATAAATATGCCGAAAATATTGAAAGAGCAGTGCCGCAGGAAATGAAATGAAACACGTAGAAGTGAGTAGCGCCTGGGGCTGCGCATAGACTTACTTAGCTTCCGTTCTGGCGGCCTAAGCACTTTAATATGATAATCAAGAGTTCGGCAATTAAACTAATAAATGCAAAGAACTCAACAACAAATATGTACCCTGAATGGTTTTTTTTAAAGAGAACTGAAAGGCGTAACCAAAATGTCGCCTAACCAATTGTATAATTAATTTCCGGTATCGGTTTACCCGTGTCTTTATAGCTGCCCCAACAATGCGCATCTCGTACAAGTGTTTCATGTGTGCGCCTCGAGTTTCATTTAGCATTTTGAATGAGGCGCAACAATGCGACATGCAACTTCGAGTCAGGCAGGGGTAAGTCCGCGCACGTGCCTAATATATGGCAAAAGAAAGCAGAAACTCCAAGCGACGTGTTTTTGTTCAGTTTGCTGAATAGAGTTTTGCGGTTTCCTGGGCCCGAGTGGGTTTCTTACCTCGCTCTTTTCCCGTGCCCGCTGTAGAATTCGCTCCTCGATGGTGCCCTTACAGATGAGTCGATAGACTGTCACCTGTTTGGTTTGGCCCAGGCGATGCGCTCGATCCATGGCCTGTTGGTCAACGGTGGGATTCCAATCCGAATCGTAGAAGATAACCTACAAGGAGAAAGGGATGGAAAACAATTAGGCCTCTAAATATATTGTTTATTTATTTTCTTTTTTTAAGTTCAATTAAATTAAAACCAAAATAAGTCTGCCCGTTCAGAGTAAACACCGCTTTATAAATGTTAATAATTTATTTTTTTACTGGAATTTTTAAAGAAGTAAAATATGTATGTAAGAAAACCTACATACTACATTTTGTATGTCTTCTAATCTTTGAGATGTGCCTAAAAATGCTGGTACGGGTTAAATGAATATGCAAATGAGAAATCCGACATGCACATCCTTTCGCTATCCTTTTGATATGTCGCTTTTGCCAGCGCTGCATATTAATTGCTGGTACGACTATTCAATAATCCATTTGTCGTGCTACGAATTATATTCCTTTCCTGTTTTCGGCTGTCTATTATTGAGCAGGGACCTTTTTATTTAAAACGTGTGCAGAGTGCAAGTGTGCAGCACTTCTTGAAGGGTTCAACGGCTGCTTCTGTATTGCCACATCCGGCACTGATGAAACTAATTATATCGAACTGAATTTAGAACACGTGTAGTGTGCTCTTAAATTTCTTCTTTTTCCCTTTCCAAAATCCATTTCCGTTTGATAGAGTCTGGATTTCATTTGAATGGAGGCGAAATAAAAAAACAACAGCAGAGATTTGTTGGTGCCATTTAATTTAGTCTATGTATATATTGGAATATATGCATATGTTTGTATAATAGTTATTCACTATTATAATTCATTGTAACTAATTCGTTATGGTCTAAGTGTAAATAATCGACATCACCTTTAATATTCAAAACCGTATCATTTGCTAAATGTTTGAAGCACCTTAGACTATTTATAGTCACATTTTGAACTAACAGTTAGACAGTTGTCATTTAGCGGTTGACAGTTGCCGGTAGACGTTATTCATCAGGGATCAGATCGAGCAATGAAGCTACAACACTTCATCATTCTGATCATTGCGCAATTAGCCACGGGTTTTAATGACAATTTTACTGAGAAGGAACTATGGATCGAGCAGAAATTAGATCATTTCGATGAGAACGAGACGCGCACATGGCAAATGGCAAGTTAATAAAGTGTTTATAGCATTTATATTCAATTAGTAAATTAACATTTTATTTGTTTACTTATTTCAGCGTTATTCGGAAAGTGATACTTTTTATAAGCCTGGTGGTCCCATCCTTATCAATGTGAATGGTGAATGGCCTTTAGCAGTAAACAGCGAATTGTGTGGCATGTTCTACGAATTGGTTGAAAAGTTCAATGCCTATGCGTTTCAAACCGAACATCGTTACTACGGCAAAAGTCATCCAGTACAGTGAGTAATACGGAATGTAGAAAGAGTGTGATTTAAATCAACTTGTTCAACAGAAATTTAACCACTGAGAATCTACAATATTTGACTATGAAGCAAGCCCTAGCTGATCTGGCCCATTTCGTTAGGCACCAAAAAACCTCAGTTCCCGGACTAGCCAACGCTAAGGTCATCATTCTCGGATGCTCGTATGCAGGAAGCATAGTTGCCTATTTTCGGAAGGATTATCCTGAATTAATTGACGGCGGCTGGTCATCTTGCGCGGGGCTCTACTACAGATTAGACTATTCTGGTTTGGTTTATACAGTCGTACAGTTGCTTTGAGACTGAAGCCTTTCTTTTTCACGTAGATGCTTTAGTAAGCGTTGGTAAATCAATTCGCAAGATTGGTGGAGATGCATGTTACGATCAAGTTAACCATTTCACCAAAGCTTACCTCAAACATAAGAAAGCAAACGATGAAACTTATACATTGCTTCAGCAACTCAACTTAACTGTCGAATATAGCAACATGGATGACACAATAGCAACTCATGTGCAGCATCGCAAGTGAGACATATCAAATAATTTATTTATCCGAAAGTCTGTATATTAATATAAACACTTCTTTCAGCATATCCATGTTCCAGAAAATATGCAGCAATATAACTGCGGTTGATAGCAATGACATTGTCAAATTCGGTTTAGTCCTACAGCATCTCAGGTCAAAAATACCAGAAGTGGGTAGCAAGGATGAAATTGAATTTTCGGAGGACCATTCATGTAAATATGCTTTCTTAAATGACTAATGATTGGATTTAGTAAGATACTCATTTCAGCCCGTCAATATTTTTATCAAACTTGCAATGAGTTCGGTAACTTCCAAACAACAAGCTCACAACATCAGCCTTTCGGTGACAGGAAGCCTTTTTCCTCCCTAATTGCACAGTGTAAAAAGGATTTTGGTCCTAAATTTACCATTGACTATATAAGTAAAAAAGTTGATGAAATCAACGCACTATACGGAGGTACTCAGCCCAATGTTGATCACATTTATTTCACAAAAGCCGAAGATGATCCCTGGAGATGGGCTGGTATAGTTGACGAATGCGCAACTGTTATACCAGGTACGAATTGATTAAAATATTTAATTCGTTTTTATAATATCCGCGTGAATTCTACGCAGGAATTGCTCACTGCCATGATTTGCGAGCTCGCACTCCAAATGATCCGCCCGCTCTTGCAGCTGCCAAGCAAAAAGGTTTCGATCTAATTGAGAGCTGGATAAATGGCGGGGGTACCACTCGCGAAACACTTACAAAATGTTAATTTTTATTTTGTCCTATCAAGTAAAAATACGTGAGATATAAACAAACAATGTCAAATGCTAAATCTGAAGTTAAGAACAACTTTCCTTATTAAAGCTTTATATTAGGTAACCCAGGCATAAATCAAAAACTAGAACTCATTATTCAGTCAATTCAATAACAGGATTCTTTGTTTAAGTCCTTGGCAAGGGTTGAGGTTATATATTGTCTTGGCCATTGGGCATATAAGGTAGCAAATGGCCTACATTTTTGTCAATTTAGTGTGAGGATATCATTAAAAACAAGTTCGTGTAAACGAGAAAAAAAATCTACCAATTGCCTATCGATTGAGATCAACCGTATATAATCTACTTAAAATCGATGTAAAACACAAAATAGAGCTTCTTGATAACCCTTATCAGCTTGTCGAAATGACTGCAAATACTTTGAGTGAATCGTTCAAATAAAATTCGCTCGACTTCAATTGCTTTGAAAATGGCTCGACTTATAGAACTGATAAAGCACTGCATGGCACTGGGCTCCACAAAGTTGTAGGCCAACGAGTTGAAACGAATGCGTTAGTATTATTTACAACTTTTAGTGCGATTTGCTTTACCTAGATTAATACCCTAAAAAGTGTGTGATAAGATTTGCCGCTGAGCTAAGCAACACGTATTAGTGGTGCTCGAATGGTGCCTGAGCCACAGTAAAAGTCCAACCCACAACGATGCCACACCACCTGGTCGGAGTAACTCTTGTGCTGCTAGCATTGGGCCTGGTACAGGCTAATGGGAATATCTTCCAGCGGACATTCAACAAACTGCACGGGGAGCCACCTGTGCCGGCAAACCAGAATCGAGCAGATGAGGTGCAAACATTGTGGATCGAGCAGAAGTTAGACCACTTCGATGAGTCCGAGACACGAACCTGGCAAATGGTATGCGTCATTTGTTATATAATCGGTGCCAACCAACTTATATCTATTTATTTATAAACTTGTATCTTCAGCGATATATGTTGAACGATGTATTCTTTAAAGCCGGTGGACCTTTGTTCATTTTCTTGGGTGGAGAATGGGAGATAAGCACGGGTCGCATCACAGCTGGACACATGTATGATATGGCCAAGGAGCACAATGGACTGCTGGCCTACACTGAACATCGATACTATGGCGAAAGTCATCCACTGCCGTAAGTGATAAATAAAACGAGTTTTAATAGCGTTTTTAATGAATTTCAATGTTTTTCAGCGATTTGTCCAATGAAAACATACAATATTTGCATGTAAAACAGGCCTTGGCCGATCTGGCACATTTTATAACCACCCAAAAGGCTACCTATGAGGGCTTGAGTGATTCCAAAGTCATAATTGTCGGTGGCTCCTACTCGGCAACGATGGTCACTTGGTTCAAGAAAACCTACCCCGATTTGGTCGTAGGTGGCTGGGCTTCCAGTGCTCCACTCTTCGCCAAAATGAACTTTGTGGGTACGTTTTACTCTACCTCTGCTTAAGAATGTCTTTTCACACTATTTACTTAGAGTACAAGGAGGTTACAGGACAATCCATAGCCCTAATGGGCGGTTCTGCCTGTTACAATCGCATTGAGAAGGGCATTGCCGAGATGGAAGCGATGATTGCTAGCAAACGCGGAGCTGAGGTCAAGGCTCTGCTGAAGCTTTGCGAACGTTTTGATGTGTACAGCGATCTGGATATATGGACACTTTTTAGTGAGATCTCCGACATATTTGCTGGCCTCGTCCAGACTCATGAGTAAGCATGGTTCGTCACAGGTGCAAAAATCGTTATTTTATTGTCATTTATGCCACAGTGCTGGAAACATTGAGGGCGTGTGCCAGAAGATCATGGCTGAAAGTTCCGATCTTGTTGGAGTAAGCAGTTACATTCTCAGCGAATTTGAAAAGAGCGGTGGCAACTGCCACGACCTTAGTTATGATGCCATGATTGGCGTACTTTCGGAGTCAAGGTACACCGGAAATATAAGTATGTATGAACTCTTGAAAATATATTTCCTTACAAATAAATGATTATCTTTCAGTGCGTCAATGGATATACCAGACATGCAACGAGTACGGCTGGTATCAGACCTCAGGATCCGCCGCTCAACCATTCGGTACCAAGTTCCCCGTAACATTTTACACAACCATGTGCGCCGATCTCTATGGCGCACAGTTTACCAATTCCTTTATCGAGAGCCGTGTGGCTGAAACAAATGAAAACTTTGGTGGTCTGACCCCAAATGTGCAGAATGTCTACCTAACACATGGTCATTTAGATCCCTGGCGTGCAATGGGCATACAGGACGAGGCGCAAGCGACCATTATACCAGGTGGACTAATGAGTTTACACATTGGAAGCATTATATTTGATAAATAATTTAATTCGCAGAACATGCTCACTGCAAAGACTTCGGTTCGATCAGTGCCGATGACACTGCTGAAATGCGCGCCTCAAAAGAACGCATTGCTGAACTGGTTCGCGAATGGCTGAAGTAAACATCTGATGAATTTAAGTTTTCCTTAAAAAAAATTAAATCTAATAGTTCGCGTTCTTTATTCAATTGCGATCGTCAAAATTGCTCTGGAAATGAATTGAATTGTATAGCTGATAAAGCACCGCAAGGTATTCGACCAACGATTTGAAAATAGTGTATTGGCATTGTTTACTTTTTAGCGAAATAATCTTGACGTAGATATTATTCATAATTCATAACTTGCTGTTGAGCTTAGCAACATGTATAAGTAGAGCTCCAATGGAGCTCATCTTGCATCTTCAGCGATATACGTTGAAATATGTATTATTTAAGGCCGGTCCTATGCTTACATTCTTGTGTGGAGAATAGGAAATAAGCAAGGGTCACACCGCAGCTGGACACATGTATGATATGGCTAAGGAAAACAATGGACTGCTCGTCTATATTGAACATCGATACTATGGCAAAAGCCATCCTCTGCCGTGATCGCTTGGTTGGCTCACTTAAAAACTCATTTTACACTGTTAGCTTGGAACACATTGAGATTATGGGCCACACTATTAATTTGTCATCGCTCTGCTGACATTGTTCTACGCGATCTGTGAACTTTTTACGTACTGAAGTCTCTTACCAGAAAATTATGGCCAAAAATTCTGATCTTAAGTTAATATTTATCCCAGTAAGCTTAAGAAGAGCGGTGGGACCTGATGTATATTTTATGCAACGAGTACGGCTGGTATTAGACCTCGCCCAACTCAGGCTCCACCGCCCAACCATTTTGCACCAAGTTCCCTTTACACACCATGAGTCGATCAGTGACAATGACACTGCCCATATGCTTGCTTCAAAAGAGCGTATTGCTTAGCTGGCTCGCGAGTGGCTAACGCAACATTATTAAAGCGATAACCACAATCTAATAGTTGCTGCTATAAATAAAATTAGTAATTGTAATAAGTCGCCATGCGAAATAGTTCCAATATTAATTAAACAACTACTGGTCAAGCATATTTACCAAATGGGATTACCAGATCGTAGCATAGATTTTGTTGAGATCAGTTATACGGATAATTGGGCTGGCAACCTATGAAATACATGTAAAATGTGCGGAATACTTATAGCAGTCAATGGACATCATAAATCGACATACGGGTTGGGTTGCTGAAAATCCCGTCTTATCACAAGATTCTATTGAAATTCCACTCCAAAAGCTTATCAACTTTAGTTTTATGACCTTCTATCTTGATCGCAAATTATTGAAAACTGAATTGCACTTTGATTACATAAAAGCGGAACGTTGGTCAATTGGGAATTTCATTTACAAACATGCTGCTGCTTCAGTTGGTTAGCCTTGCGATATTGGCTTTGGCTAGCCAGGCACATAGCCTGAAATTGAAGAAAGATGTGCCCGTTTTTGTTAAAACTCTAAAAGAGCTGCATCGTGGCCCGCCTCAGCGGACAATGACACGGGCAGACACCGCGGAGGAAAAATGGATTACACAACCACTTGACCACTTCGATGAAAGCAATACGAAGACATACGAAATGGTATGAGTACTAGCAGAAAACTCAAGGCACATATCTCAAATATTTCCGTGTTTTTCAGCGATATTTCCTAAACGATGAATTCCAAACTGATGGCAGCCCCATATTCATCTTTTTGGGTGGAGAATGGGAGGCCAGCCCAGGGATGATACAACAGGGTCATTGGTATGACATGGCCAAGGAGCACAACGGCGTGCTGATCTACACTGAGCATCGTTATTATGGAGAAAGTGTGCCCACAGAGTAGGTGTTTATGCAATATCGGATTATCTTCTATACAAAATCAATTGCCAACAGGACAATGTCATTGGACAACCTACAGTATTTGCATGTCAAGCAGGCGCTCGCCGATGTGGCCCGTTTTATTGAAACTTTCAAATCGGAAAATGCACAGCTTACCAACTCGAAGGTGCTGCTAGCCGGTGGCTCCTACTCAGCCACAATGGTCGTTTGGTTCAAACGGCTCTATCCCGAGTTGGTGGTGGGTGGCTGGGCTTCCAGCGCACCGCTGCTTGCCAAGGTTGATTTCTATGAATACAAAGAGGTGACAGGCAGAGCGTTCCTTGAGCTGGGTGGTCAGAAGTGCTACGATCGCATTCAGAATGGTATTGCCGAGCTGGAGTACATGTTTGACAACAAACGCGCAGCAGAAGCACGTGCCATGTTGCGTTTATGCAGCAGTTTTGATCACGAAAATGATCTGGATATGTGGAACTTATTCGGCAGCATTTCGAACATCTTTGCGAATGTAGCTCAGACACAAAGGTAAGTCAGCCATTTGATCAAAAGCATTCAGGACTTACATTCAATTTATTGTAGCCCGGGCGATATCGAGTATTATTGTGACTTTCTGCTGAGCTTTGACGATAATGCCACAGCCATAGCTAACTTTGCCTATTGGGCCTGGAATTATCCAAGCTGCATCGATGCGCGATATCAAGAAACCGTTGAGTATTATCTGTGGGGCATTGAGAACTTTGACTCGTGTAAGTTATAAAGCTTTTACCCGCGTTGCTTTAATTTATTGGAACTCTTTGTGTTTAATAGCTCGACCCTGGTTTTATCAGACCTGTAACGAGTACGGCTGGTATCAGTCATCGCGATCAAATAATCAGCCCTTTGGCAACAAATTCCCTGCCACGTTCAACATTGAATTGTGCAAAGATGTCTTCAGCTCCAAGTTCGGAAACGAACAGGTCGAAAGCAATATCGCCCAAACCAATGAGGACTTTGGCGGCCTGGAACCGAACGTTGAGAACGTCTATATGACACACGGAGAACTGGACCCTTGGAGTGCCATGGGTCATGGTGTTGCAGAGGGTGCCACGGTTATTACAAAAGCCTCCCACTGTACGGACTTCGATTCTATCAGCTCAAGTGACAGCGCAGAAATGCGGGCTTCCAAGGAACGTATTGCTGAACTAGTTCGCGAATGGTTGGCCTAACTTTAAATATCGTTCTAACATTTCCATCTCTATCATGGCACAGAAATAACATTTTAAGCCCAAACGTTTAAATACTTGGGCAATGACATATGTGTATATTTTTATTAACGAATATCTAAATTTTGCAAATTGATTAGGGTTAAACTACAAATAAACTTTGTAGATCCTACAAATTACTTAAAACCATTGCTCAATTTAACGAGGTTGTAAAAATAGTCAAAATTTCCTAAATGGGAGAAATGGAAGAAGGCGAAGTTAGAGGAAGAATGTACTATCACAAACTGCACAAATTTTTACATGAATTTTGACCAAAAATACTGTTGCCAGATTTTGATGCCAAATTGATTTAGAGGTCAAGTCATGAACAAAAAGCCAAACCTTATGAAAATCGGATGATATTTGGCCGAATTATGGGGCTGTGTAATTTTGACTTATTTCTAGTTAGGATATTTGAGGGTATAATTTTTACATGAATTTTGACCATAAATACTATTGCCAGATTTTGATGCCAAATTGATTAAGAGGTCAAACCACGAACAAAAAGCCAAACCTTATGAAAATCGGATGAGATTTGACCCAGTTATGGGGTTGGGAAATTTCGCCTTATGTCTATATAGGATATTTGAGGGTATAATTTTTACATGTATTTTGATCAAAAATACGGTTGCCAGTTTTTGATGCCAAATTGATTTAGAGGTCAAACCATGAACAAAAAGCCAAACATTATGCAAATCGGATGAGATTTGACCGAGATATGGGGCTGGGAATTTTTGACTTATGTCTATATAAGTAATTTGAGGGTACAATTTTTACATGAATTTTGACCAAAAAAATGTGTTGCCCGTTTTTGATGACAAATTGATTTAGAGGTCAAACCATGAACAAAAAGCCAAACCTTATGAAAATCGGATGATATTTGGCCGAATTATGGGGCTGGGAAATTTTGACTTATGTCTAGTTAGGATATTTGAGGGTATAATTTTTACATGAATTTTGACCACAAATACTGTTGCCAGATTTTGATGCCAAATTGATTAAGAGGTCAAACCATGAACAAAAAGCCAAACCTTATGAAAATCGGATGAGATTTGACCGAGTTATGGGGTTGGGAAATTTCGCCTTATGTCTATATAGGATATTTGAGGGTATAATTTTTACATGTATTTTGACCAAAAATACGGTTGCCAGTTTTTGATGCCAAATTGATTTAGAGGTCAAACCATGAACAAAAATCCAACCCTAATGAAAATCGGATGAGATTTGACCCAGTTATGGGGCTGGGAAATTTTGACTTATGTCTATATAAGTAATTTGAGGGTAAAATTTTTACATGAATTTTGACCAAAAATACTGTTGCCAGTTTTTGATGCCAAATTGATTTAGAGGTCAAACCATGAACAAAAAGCCAAACCTTCTGAAAATCGGATAAGATTTGACCCATGAACAAAAAGCCAAACCTTATGAAAATCGGATAAGATTTGACCCAGTTATGGGGCTGGGAAATTTTGACTTATGTCTATATAAGTAATTGAGGGTACAATTTTTACTTGAATTTTGACCAAAAATACTGTTGCCAGTTTTTGATGCCAAATTGATTTAGAGGTCAAACCATGAACAAAAAGCCAAACCTTATGGAAATCGGATGAGAGTTGACCCAGTTATAAGGCTGGGAAATATTGACATGTCTATATAAGTATTTGGAGGGTACAATTTTTACATGAATTTTGACCAAAAATACTGTTGCCAGTTTTTGATGCCAAATTGATTTAGAGGTCAAACCATGAACAAAAAGCCAAACCTTATGAAAATCGGATAAGATTTGACCCATGAACAAAAAGCCAAACCTTATGAAAATCGGATGAGAGTTGACCCAGTTATGGGGCTGGGAAATTTTGACATGTCTATATAAGTATTTTGAGGGTACAATTATTACATGAATTTTGACCAAAAATACTGTTGCCAGTTTTTGATGCCAAATTGATTTAGAGGTCAAACCATGAACAAAAAGCCAAACCTTATGAAAATCGGATGAGATTTGACCGAGTTATGGGGTTGGGAAATTTCGCCTTATGTCTATATAAGTATTTTGAGGGTACAATTTTTACATGAATTTTGACCAAAAAAATGTGTTGCCAGTTTTTGATGCCAAATTGATTTAG